TCTTTTGTAAGAATAAAAGCTACTACTCTAAAAATGTAAATATCTTTTGTGGTTTTATAAACTAAACCTACTAAAAATTAAAATAAAGGTTAAAATATCAGGAGTAAACTTAACAAATATTTAAATATAAAAAAGGCATAAAAATTCTAAATATGTTTAAAAATTATGTGCTCACAAACAGCTGGTTTGGATGATTGTTAAATATTGTTCCATAATGTATCATCTTGTACTGTATTATTTTGCAAATATAATGTTGGATCTATTACATGTTTTGATACCATTTAGTAACATCATTATTATTTGATTTGACTGTATCATATTTTGTCGCAACTGATAAGTTTATTAAAAGGAAAACTCATAAATAAAAATAAAAGGCAAAACAAAAAGCATAAGCTTCAAAAGAAAATATTATGAAAAAAAGTCTTGATCCCGTAAAACCCCCTCAATAGTTAGCCCAAATGACCATCAGAAGTATACTTACACAATACGTGCAGAAGTGTAGCAGAAGTACGTAAATCAATGCATACCCAGTAAGTATCTAGCCTAACACCGCTGAAGTAATGATGTGGGGTCGACATTAACACTTACTAGTGATCCAATGAATCAATATATTAAATTATAAAGCACAACAACAATAAAGAGGTAAGAACTGTAACTAACAAAAAATTTCCAACATTATGACAATATAAATTTCTCTTAGTGTAGTTATATTTTTTTTCTTTTCGTTTTTAGGAACAAACATATTTGTAGGTATATTCGGCAAGTCGTACACTGCATTGCGCGTCACCTAGTCCCTAGAGAGCTTGGCCAGGCGGAAAGCCTCGTGTCGCCTGATGGAAAGCTTGCATGGGAGCTCGCCTCGCGAGGGAAAAGGCAAGGTGCATGCCGCGTGGAGCCTCGCATCGCACGACTAAGAGCTCGCGTTGGAGCTCGCCTCACGAGGGGTAAAGCGAGGCAGCAACCTCGCGTCACCAGGTAAGTGCATTTTTCGATTTATTTTAACTTTTTTCCTTTATTTCTTTTAACCCCCTCCCTTAAAACCTAACCTAAACGCCCAAAACCTCACTGCTCACAAAAAACAAAGCACACAACCTCACTGCTCACGCCAAGAACACTGCCAAACCCCCTCCCTCACAACCCCATTGAAGACAAGCACTCCTCTGCTCTTTCCTTCACCTGCAACAACAATTCAAGGGTAATCCTTCCTCTTAAACATCTAAGGTATGATTTCTACCTCCATTCTTTGGCAATTTCGAGTTGGGTGAATGCATGATATTGGATACAAAATTTTGGGGTTGTTCTTCATTGTAACAATGTGTTTGTATGCCCCAACCTCATGAACCCCATAGGAATGGTGATGTTATTGTGTGAATAAGTGGTAGCACGGAACTCCCAAGCCGATTTGGGAGGGTGAGGCAATCCCCCATCCCTACAAGCACTCCCATGGAACGAGTGCATGCTAAGTGTTTGTCATAATGCCTCAAAGGCATTCTTTGTCCCCATTGGAGCCCAAGTCTCCGTGATTTTAAGACTAGTGCTATGTAGCCGTGCACCACTTTAAAATTTTAAGTGTGGGGTGGCTCACTGGTAGCCCGATGCTTTGAAATTGGAGGAAGCACCCATGTGTCATTGCTTGATTCTTATACTAAGAAAAGATGAGGTGAAGTCTGAGTAACCTCGAAAAATATAGAAAATCATGTGTTGAACTCTTAAGTGTGTGGTCGCAAGACCATGTTTTGAATTTTGCAATACATCCTAAACTGATTAATGCTCACTTGTGTAGATACAAACATGCCTCCAAGGAAGGACACCAGTAAAGGCAAGGCCACATCCACTGCTCCGTCTAAGGCTAAGGCTCCCTCCGCACCTCTACCGAAGAAGAGCAAAGGGGGTGAAGCCACTTCAAGTCAAGTTGAAGGACTGCAAGCAGTGGCAGCTATAGCAGCCACTCGCCCACAATCTCAAGGACAGAGGGAGTTTGGACGCAAGAACATACCTCTACATGTTAAGGACTAGTACAGACGTTGTAGGCCGAGACATATACATCCGGAATTTGCTATTCATGAGCGTCACCTACAAGCCAAGTACCAAGCAATCTAGAGAGGTATTAATGAGTTGGGGTTGCGTTATGTGTTCAAAAATACTGGGGATATCAACGTCAATCTGGTTCGAGAATTTTATGCCGGTTTTAATCCAAAGGATCCGGAGCAGTTGGTGCCCATTCAGGGAAGGTTGATAGATTTTTCAGCCTTAGCAATATGCAATTTCTTAGGTGCTCCAGATGTTCCTCAGGAACCCTTGGACATTTTCATCACCCGTCCTACATATCGAGAACTGAGACACACTCTTTGTGGTGTCAATTTTGTGGCGGCGTGGGTTCGGGATAAGAAAACCAATCGTCATAGGAAATTTTCCAAGAAGAAGATGAGGGCAGAGGCTTAAGTATGGCTAAAATTGATTAATACACGACTCCTACCATGCAATCATGATACTCTTATTAACCATGAGAGAACGTGTGTGCTATATTTTCTCATGACTGGCCAGAGGGTGAATGTAGGTCATTTAATCCGCTACCAGATGACTCAAGTGAGAACTAGTGAGAGAATTGACCGAATGCCCTTTGCAAACATGTTAACACAATATTTGAGACAGGAAGATGTGGATGAGGAGAAAGCTTTCGAACACATCATTGATCAACCCCTACGACTAACAGACATTACAAGCGTCCGGGTTAAGGAGGAGACTGTTATGCCATCAATGACAGGTGCCGAGCGCAATGCTCGCGATGACGGCTTAATATCCCATTTATATGGGATGATGGACTTGGAGCTTCAGATTGGGGGACGTTCGGCCACTACAGAGGAGAGGGCCATATTGGAGGAGCGTTCCCGCTCAATGCTCATGCTCAGCAGCTGGTTGGGCTTGGTGATGGTTACAGACTCCTAGAGGATGAGGATGTCAACATACTTGAGCAGTCCGAGGCCAAGCCGAAGTAGTCGGATGATGACGATGATGATGATGAGAAGGAGGAGGAAGCAGAAGATGAGGAATGGGCAGCCTTCGAGGATGAAGGCGATGACGAGGCTTGATCAGGGAGTTTTTATACACCCTACTCATTTTTTTTCTTGTTTTGTGAGTTTGTGTATGCACTAAGGACATTGCATGAAAAATAAGTATGGGGTGGTAACTTGTAAATATTAGTCTTTTTTTAGTAATCCTTTTTAGTTAGTGTCGTCTTAGCCTTTAAAAAAAAAGAGTAAAAAAATTGGACTCTTCCCGACGACGGATCTCCTAGACAGTTTTCTTGAGGGAATTAAGTCTAAAGAAAAAAAACCAAAAAGATTTTCTTCTAGGTAGTGTAGTAATTCCCCCTTGGTTTTTTTTGTACCGCGGTTCTTTTCCAAGGGTTTTAGTTGAATCGAGTGTAGTTAGTTTTAATTTTAGGAGTAGAAACCACTGGGCTATAAATTGAATTGCAGTGATATCTCTTAACTTTGTTATGCCTTGAGAATAGTGAATACTCTGGTTGTGACGCTTAGGCTCAATGTTTGACTCTAGTATAAAAACCTTAAATCGTAGATTCTTAAATTTGCTTAACTGCTTTGACTAGAGTGTCGTGATAAAAACCAATCCTGAGTGAGTTATGTACCATGTATGTGTGAGGTTTGCATGTATTTTGTGCATTGCAATTTATGTCTAGAACTTGCGCCGTGTATGTGCGAAGCGAAATAGTAGTCTTGTTCAGTCTGGGAAGTAATAGAGACGTTTCTTTGTTGAGCCAGATATATATAGTTTACCCGCCTAAATGTCATATAACGTAGTTAACCCCTTTAAGCATGTAATCTTATTTCTTTGGTAAGCACATTACAAGCCTTACCCTTTGTTTGAATTGATCATATATTTGAACCTTGTCACCTCTCATGAGCACTT